AGAATATATATTAAAATGTTAACAACGGTGATCAGATAGGATTTTGTGTTTGACTAGAAAGTCAAAAAGAACTTTGCCTATCCTTCTTTATTTTTTTAAATTTTCTCCCACAATGCCCATTTTATGACTGGTAAAATAATGAAATGACTAAATATTTTTAAATTAAATCAATCCTATAAAAATACTAAAGAGATGGTGATCAAAATCAATCAGGAGAGTTTTTTTTCCTGTGAAGTCTTCCTTTTGATACCTTCAAGTTCTTTAAATTGTTCATAGAAGAGTTAAGCTGCAGAGTTTCCAGTTTTATCTCCTGTTTTCAGCTTTTTACAGAAAATACATATCCTTGGACTTGAAGGAAAGCTAACATCAAAGGTTTAGTTTCTAGAATTTGAGCTAGGCCCTGCAACTAGTCAAGAAAGAACAAGGGCTATGGATAAAACATCATTAGCAGAGTACAGAATAGTTCTTAATTTAATACACAAAGTATACAAGATGAATCTTCAATGGATAAGGCAATTATTTTCTACCAACTCCTACTGCAGAGGTAGATTTCAAAAGACAAGATCCAAAAGCAGCAAATATTTTAAAAGACCTGACAAAAGTAATTTCTAGATAAGGCAAAAAAATATCTTCCAAGACCACAGTGGTGCTCTACATGCCTTCGACCCTCAATTAAGTATTACCTGATTAGAAAATAAACAGCAGGTAAACACTCTCATTTAAAGTATACAATAAATCTGGGGTTATATAAAGTGTGTGGCGGCCTAAGTATGCCAAAAAATAAATATCTTGTTTATAGTTGCTCCAAAAACCTATTTGTAAACAGATGTGTGGATTCAGAACACGTATCCCCAGAAAAACAATGTAATGATGGTGGTTAACTCCCAGCCTGGTCCATGAAGCCTATTTTAGTCGTTAATGAGAACTATCCCACACCTGTGACTTAGGTGCATCGCACTCGTGGTCGAAGTGAAGAAACCCATAACACTAGGGGAGTAAGAGCGGCTGTCCTTCACTCGGAACCAAGGCTCTCTCAGCTGAGCCCCTCTCCAGACCGGCTCTCCAGCTAAGAGACCTCTCCAGGTCACGCCCTATTCCCAGGGGCAGCCCAGGTTCAAACACCCCGTCAGGAGGGAAGGGAAGGTTTACAGGCCCTGCCCCCAAGCCGCCAGGTTAACTAACTCTGCAAGGCCATCCCAGCTCCAGAGGTCCGAGACAACTGCATCACAGCTCAACTCCCTCCCCTGCCTAAGACTGCTTCCTGGCGCTGCCGCTGGTGATGACGCCCAGAGCAGCCCCACTAAACCTCCTGCAGTAAGTCTCCGTCTCGGAGACCATTGCCGGGACCTAAGACGAACGGCTAACTCAGTAAGCTCGTTTTATAACCCAGGCACCATTTATATATACACATACTTTTATACATGTGTATATATAATATGAACATATACTACGTATATAATATCAACACATATTACATATATAATAGGTAAATAAGAGACAGGCCTTACTATCTAAGAGGTAGATCTTACTACATTATGTATGGGTAGGTACTATAATCCCAGTTTAAATATGCAGAAACTAAGGCTCAGAGAAGTCAAATGACTTACCCTAGATTATACAGTGATTTGAGGAAACAGGATGTGACTATAGGTCGACCCAGTGCAAAGCCAATCGCTATGTAAAATAACTCCATCTCCTAGAAAGAGCTGTTGAATGAGCCAAGGCTGACTCAGCAACCCAAGGGTTATGGTGGCAGTCAGGAATGAGTGGAGTGGTGAACCATGGTTATCCAGGAAATAGGAACTTATAAAAGGACTTGGGGTCCGGGCCCATTGAAAACTGGATACCTTAACCAAGAGTTCATACATTACTAGGAGCATACCTGAAGCAGAGAGAGAGAGAGAGAGAGAGAGAGAGAGAGAGAGAGAGAGAAAGAGAGAGAGCGCGTGCGTGCGAAAGAGAGAGAGAGAGAGAGGAGATATCTAATGGAACCATAATTCCAGAATAAAACTACATAGTTATAATCAACTGCATGATTACTCGATCCTAAAAATAATGATTGGCAAATCTTGTCCACCTACAACCAAAATGCTGCAATATGTGCAAGACAGATGTTTACTATGGAGAAGGATAGTGCTTGCACATCTTTTACTCCAATCCCTGCAAAAATTTTCATAAATATATATAAACCATATCTGAAAATGCACTAATAAATTTATTATTGGGGTACAAAGTCTTTACCATTAATATTCAACTTACCCAAGATGTGGAACTGCAACCGGTTCAACTTCTTTCACTACAAACAGACCAAGCTTCCCCAAGCTTTCCCTAGCTACTAATCTGCTTTTATAGAATAAGTAGCTTTTTATATCTACTGACAAAGAGTGAACAACTAAGAACGAATATTATTACCCTGCCCTGGCAGCCACACTGCCCAAGAACTGACAAGACAAAAAGCCATTCTATAAACCCCAAGTAACTACTCATACAAATAAGTACTATTAACCTTACGAAAAGTCATTAAGTTTGCATACTTGCGAAGTAGATCACAAATGACTGAACAGTGAGAACAAACCTTGTAAAGTTTAATAGAATATAGTTTTACTACATCCTTGAAAGAATTGTTTGATTTGTAATATTCATAATCACAAAACCTAATATCACAGTTAAGTAAAAAATTGAAATATACTTAGAAACTCTGTAATAGTCCTATTAACGTCATTTTAAAATTCAAAATAATTGGGCCTTATCAGTTAATTTTAAGAGTTGGCACATATCTGTTATTCCTTCCTTTAAAAATTCACCAATGCCATTTCTCCCATCCCTACATTATAATGGACAGCTTTATATGGTAAAACAAAAAGCATTTGCAATTTCCTTATTTATCGATTTTTGCACACAGGAGGCCTCAGCATCCAAGCTCAGTTATCATCAACTGCAGTAAGAGTTCCTCAAATTAAAGTGGATCATTCACTGAGACTTCACACCATGTCAGCACCAAGAATTTAGCATCATAAACTTCAGCTCACGACTCTAATGTAAGTTTGTTGCTTCTATAAATCTAATTATGGCAATATTTGGCCTACTTCTTCCCTTTCCCCCCCCCACTCAATTAATAAAACAAGCTCCAAATCAAAAATAATTTCACACAGATATATACAGAACTGCTAAATATACCTGAGGAGATTAATAATGGGACCATCATAACCAGATCAATGTTTACAAATGAGGAGATACTACCAGCCTAGGAGAAAAATTTCCTAACACCATCTTAAAGTCATCTCATCTTCTGGACAAAGAAGAAAATAGCCAATGTGAAGCTTCCATAGAGACAAAAATAGCAGGGTAAGCCACAATCACCCCCGGAACAGGAATGCAAACTCTATGATGACCCCTCTCTCGATTACCCCTGTATCCTTTAATACTTCACGTGGTACTTGTAACACTGCAAGTGCCTAATATTTTTTCAATGAATGAATGACTGCTAGCTATCACTGTTCATCACTTTTCTTGAGGAACTTCACTAAAGCTCTTACAAATGTAATAAGCCTTTAAAACGACAAAAAATAAAGACTGAGTAGGGAAAGGACACTCTGAGCCTCACAATAAGCCTATGGCGGGGCGGGTGGGGGGGGCAGTATAATCAGTATTTTTTTTTTCCAATTTTACAGGTGAGGAAACCGAGGCTCAGAAAGACTGACCTTCCTAAGATGACAAAGTTCTAAATAAGGTTGAGTCAGGAGTCGGTCTTCCTTCCCCCTGTCACATCAAAACCAAAATAAAGTTAAGAGCTAGGAAAACAAAAGAACATAGAGAAGACAGTATGGCCAAATGTTGTAGTATCAAGCATTCACATATGCGATAAATTTGGAAAACTTTCTATTTCATATTGCAGAGACACAGCCAATGAGGCCTAATCTTCTGTTCCTAACAGGCAACACTTCACTACGGAGTTCTAAGTTCAGGTGCCCCGTTTTAAAAAAAGTGACCGTTTAGAAAGAGAATGGATTCAAAAAACTGAAAGCTACAAGTTAAAAGCCAGAAATAAAGATCTTAATCTCTTTCCGTTATAAGCTACCTATACTCCCCTTCCCTGAAAAACTGGCTGACCAGAGGAATTCAAAGGAACTGTCCAAGTAAGTAAAGTGCTCGCGCCCTCCAACAAAAACCTTAACTCTGTAGTGACATCAGCAATACTGTCATATCTCAACTATTCCGCAAGTGCTCCTCACAAGGCGGATTCAGGCACTACCTAAGATTATCAGACTTCCTTCTAAAAATGTGAAGCAGAATTAAATAGAGGATGATTTTTTTTTTTTTTAACTCCGGGCTGAGAACGGAAGTCAAGTTCAGATTCTCTTCCTTCCTCAAGCGAGCAACAGAATTAAAGAGCACCCTCACCCCACCCACCCACACACACATACAAATACGCGCCCTACAGTAAAAAATGACTGTGGAGCCTCTTCACCTATAGCAATCGATACAGCCATCCTGGATTTGCTGGCATTTAAGGCTCTTCACATCGAAGGGCGAGGGGTCGGGGGCGAGGGGTCGGGGACGAGGGAATCACAGGGAAAAATGAACTGGTGCCTAAGTTTTCAATCGGATCATTCTTCCCAACTTGAGCAGCTCTTTCCTTCCTTCCTCTCACCCTCCCTCCCTCCCTCCCTTGGGTTCGGCGCACACACTCGGCTTTGCCACCGGGGGCACCACGGGCAGGGCCCGAGGGTAGCGCTGCCGCAGACGGGCACCCAAGCGCCCCTCGTAGTCTGCCCAGGCTGCCCAGGGCGCGCGACCGCTGCGCGGCGCGGACACCCGGCAGACGCCGCAGATAAATCGTCGTCAGGCGTGGGGACCGTGAAGGGGCAGCCGCGGTGGGGCAGAGGGGCGGGGTGAGCACTTCCTGACTCTCGCATTGTCCACGCATCGCCCGCGCCACCCAGGGCCCCGCCACCGCGCCGTCCCCGTCGGGGAGGAAGTTGGCACTCGCCCCGTCTTACCGTTCTTGGCGTCGCCCGCGGCTGCAGCCCCCGCGGCGGCCGCGACGCTGGCTGCGCCAGTCCCCGAGCCTCCGGTGCCTGCCGCGCCCCCGGTGCCCGGCGCGCCCGCCGCAGCCGCTCCGCAGCCCGCCGCTGCCGCCAGGGCCCCCCCGGCCGCCGCGCCCGCCGCGCCCGCCGCTGCCAGGGCCCCGGCTCCATTTTCCTGCTCGTCCCCGCTGCTGTTGGCGCGCTTGTTTTTGCGGCCGCCTTTACTGTTTTTGGGGTTGGGCATCTCGGGAACGTTCAGGTGCCCGGCGCCAGCGAAGGCAGCTCCCCACGGCGCGGCCGCTCGGGACCCCGCGCGCTGCCGGCTCCGGGACGGAGAGAATGGAGGGCGCGGGCCGGCGGCTCCTTCGGCGCCCGTCTAGCCGCGCGGCCCGCGCCGCGCCATCCCCGCCGCCGCGCCCTGCCCGGCTTCCTGGAGCCGGCGCGCGGCCACCCAAGGCTCGCAGCCGCGCGGGCGCCGCGGGCTCGGGGCGCGAGCGAGAAGCTCTCGAGCAGGAGGGAAAAGGCGGGTCTCCGGCTTGTTTTGATTCGGCTTCGCTGACACGCTCTGGCCCTGCCCCCGCCCGTGACGACACTGGGGATTCGGCCTGGCCGCGCCCACCAGGTGACCTCACGGCGGACCGTCCCGCCCGCGTGACGTCATGCCCCGCACTGAGCCGGCCACCTTCGAGTGACGTCATCCTGGCGCCCTCACCCTGGGCCTCAGGAGCTCCCGGCGTCTGGGAACCGCCCTTCCTGAAACGGCCCCGAGCAGCAATCCGATGGTGTCTGAAGTTATTTAGTGGCCTCCTGACCTTCGTGTAATTGAGGTTTAGTACACTGTGGTCCAGAAGAATAGGCGCTGAGTAGCACAGGAATGGAAAACAAACGATTTCGAGTTTGGGATTAATAATCCATTAAAAAGAGTTGCCATTCAGGAACGGCCTTAGACCCAGTAATTGCAGAAACAGGATTGAGTTTCTAGACAATGGGAGTGAACTGCAGGATCCCCGACTGGGAAGCATCACAGTATAGTGAGAGTTCGTTCGAACAGGACTCACCATCCAGAGATGTAACGAAATGTTGCCTGTGACCTATAAGCACGCCCTGCCTGGGGGGAAACCCAAATATCCCTGTGCATACAACGGAGTTGTCCTGAAAGATAGGTGGCCACGATGTTCACAGAAGGAGAGAAGAAGCTGACACCTGTGATGAGAGGCAGGGGATTCCTGGGAAGAGTTGCATATGGTCTTTTTCTGCAACTCTTTTCTGCCTTTTTGCATGTCAGCTCCTTCCCGTCTCCCAGCTTCCAGCTCCAACACATCACTTCCTAAAGGATGATAGCACTGAGGCGCCTTCCCAGGAGAGCTATCAGAAGTATCGCTTTGTTTATTTCCCTCACCCGCCTCTAATTGTTTTGTCAATATATATGTTTAATTATTTTCTATCTCCTTCTCAAATGAGAGCTCCATAGGATTTTTTTTTTTTTTTTTTTTTTTACTGTCTTGGGCACCTGGGGGAACAGGTAGCATGCATTTGTCGAATATATAAATTAGCACCTTTTCCCATGAACTGTGGAGGAAAAACTATGTCAGCTGACAGTTCACAGTTTTCCCCTCTATAGGAAATCTTTAATTAACCCAGTTCTTTGGTAAAGACTCTGTGGCTGTGTTGGGAAGCACACAGGGACAAGCAAGGAAGTACAGGGAAGAACATCCATGCTCACCTAAGAGCAGGACTCTAATAAGGAACACTAGGCATTCGTTGCAGAGTCCACAGCAGAGCCTGGAGCTGCAGGGAGGAGCTCTGGACCTTCGGGAGCAATTGCTGGTTAGATATTTCATGCCTATATTTTCATGTCTGTTTTTCCTCCATCGTGACATCCTCTGAGCACTAGGAGAGCCAGGATTGCGTCCATCTTTCTAACTAACTGCAGAGTCTCAAGTAAAGCCTGATCCACAGTATGTGTTCAATAAAACTTTGTTAAATGGAGTCTTCTGACTACATTTTTCTGAACCTTAAAGTCTCAGCAAAATCATCATTTCTCTAGAAGTCTTCTCTGACAACCCAAAGCTAGATTTGTCCCCATGTGCTCCCTGTACCTTCCCCACCAGTTTGCATACACAGTAATGAAATTGCCTATTTACTTGTCTCATCTGGACTCCCACTAGACTATAAGCCTCCTTGATGGCAGAAACTGTCTTTCTTAGTCACTGTTGTATCCTTGGTACCGTGCTTGGTACAGTGCATGGTACATAGTAGGTATTTAATAAACACATGATGAGTACATGAATAAATGAATGGACAATGCTTTGAGGGTAGATGCAGCAGGATTTGGTGGCCACTTGAATATGAGAGATGAACAAGAGAGTGAAGCCAAGAAATTCTGAAAAGTGTAGGAAATGATGATGATTGTTAATTAAGTGGAAACTTCCAGAGGAGGACAGTAGGAGCTGTGGACAAAGATAATGAGTTAGAGTGACCCATTCAGGCTTAGCTGAATTTCATGACTGATATCCCTCACTAGAGGTAGCTGCGAGATCTCAAAATCTTTTGGGTACTTTGGCTTTGGCCTTTCTCCTTTTGTTTTATCTGTGTCTTTTTTTAAGTGGTGAGTATGAAGAAGCTTAGGTTAAGAAAATTGAGATAATTATTTTCTTGAATAAGCACATTGCTGCCATGCCATATTGGATCAGAGTAATTGTGCATGTACCCTGCAGACAGACATTCACACCAGCTGCCTCCCACCTCTACATAACTGAGGCTTAAGAATTGGAAACTTTCCCACAAAAATATCATAATTGGCTCAAAACTCAGAGAGAGACAGCCAGTTGCTGTTCTTGTTCATTGTGTGAGCCACCCCCTTCTCATTCAAACTGAAACAAAATGAAAAGCAGGAGAAGCCAGGCCACTTCCACCCTCAACCTGGAGCAAATCTATTTTTAGCCTTAGTCGAAAGTTCTGATGTATTGTTACCAAAAAATGTACTGAAATCAAGATGTTAAAAACAAAATTTAGGTGGGGTTGAAGGAGCCCATTTCCTACTTCTGTATATTCATGTGGAACTTCATAGGAATCCTGCTGCTTTAAGCCTTTTTCTTCCCCTTTTCCCCACCATTTCTGAAGGGGAGAGAGAGAGAGAGAGAAAACCTACCTAAAGAGAAAAGATGGTAAACAGTGACAGAAAGCCCTCCCCGCAGCTGCTTCCAGAAGGAAAATATGACAAGTTATAGGAACCCAAGGAAGCCACTATACTCTGTATATCCACACTTGGCTTCTCCTTCTGTAATTTCCCTGATCAACTCATGTGCTCTGAATGAACTTCAAAAAAATCGTACCTCTAACCCAAGGTTTTTTCCCCCCAGACTTTATCACCCACTCCATCACCCAGGTCTGTGCACAATTAAATAAAACACAGCAACAAATAAAGGTCATCAAAGGTAAATAACTTACACCCTTGAGAAAAGGGACACGCTAATCTTCAGGAATGGATAGGAATAAGTGGTTATTGTTTCAGTATTATTGCTCTGTTTGGGTTTTTACTTGATATGTATGCCTGTATCCTGAACTCTTGGGGCTCAACTAAGTCATTTGGGCTAGATTTAACTTGATCTGCTAAAGTCACTTCAAGTAAATATACCTTGAACAATGTATGCTACCTCTATACCAGTTTCTTCTTCTGGATATAGGCTTTCTTATACCCACAGGACTACTTTGAAAATAATGAGAATCGTGATTATAACTAACTTTGACAAAAATGGAATATTAATGCAAATAATAATGTGGATTATTAAATGCCACAGGCCTGCCATTCAACTATTCCCAATTATTAATATTAATATTTCTCTCAAATATATACCATCAGAATCTTTTTTCAGGCCTTTAGTTTGCCTTTTACACTATTTTCATAATCTACAAAAAATCATAATTCTATTCCCAGTGACCCCTGAATTTGTTGCTTACACGGATCTCGGTGCCTTCTTTGCTTCTACTGTTGTCCCGCTCAGCATCAACACTGCTCTGGACCCTAGTAATCTAAGCAGGATGCTCCCTTCAAGAAATAGATCAAGTATAGTCTTTCCTAAGGCAGACTTCCCCGCATTTATTCCACTCAGTACCCTCTCTTTTACTTCACACCTTCACATGCTCACCACCTGGTTACACCAACGTTTTCTAAACTGTGAGTTATATTCTCTTGGCAGGTTGTAAAATCAATTCAGAGGATTTCTATCAGCATTTTTTAAAAAAACGAGAGCAGAATAGAAATATCAGAATGTGTTGCATATAAAAATTAAGGACTGTTTTGTGAAACATTATTTTATAAAATTTAGCTTACACACAAACATATGCACATATATACATCATATATATATATATATCGCATATATATGCATACTGAGTCATGATGTGAAGTCCATTTCTTATTGTGGTGCAAGTCAAAAAAAAAAATCTAAAAGCAACTTTATACCATAGCATGCAATATTTGATTATATGGAATGTCTTTAAATAGTCTTCCCACTTCAGGGAGAGCATTTTCTCTCTCCAAATATATTTTAAATTCTTCAAAGACAAACATCGTATCTTCCATCTTTTATATTTCTCCCAATGAAGCTACCATCAAGAGTAATTTGCTTACAAGTTCCACACATGTGCAAAAACAAACCAGACCCAAAAAACTGAAAATCTAATGGCAGAGGGAGCGGCAGCCAAACAACAAACACATATGAAGCAAATAAAAATCAACTGTTAACCTAAAAACATTTAGGAAATAAAAAAGATGGGTACATCGTATTTTGTTTTGTTTTGGAGTTGGAGTGGTCCTCTCAGATCCCCAGAAGATTTGAAGAGTTAGTGGAGACTGGAATTGTCAAAGAAGGATTCATGGGAAGGCCTTGGAGAGCAGTCTTTTTAAAAAGCATGGAAACAAAAATGAGAATGGAGCACACAGAGGGGAGAGAGGAAGGTGTAAAAATTTGGGTGTTTGTTGGATACAGCTGGAAAGCAGTCAGATCTCGATGGGCCTAGAGCGGCAGCAGCACACGGTCCAGACCTTAATAACCGGTAAAGAAGCTGGAACTCCCTCTCTCTCTTCCTTCATTGCTTTCTTTTCCCCAATAGTACGTAATTACTATGCTATATATTTTTTATTTTTATTACTGTATGATATACTCTGTTATTAAATTTATTCACTTTGTTTAGTGTCTGTCTTTCCTCACTAGGATGTAGGTATCAAGAGGGTGAGGATTTCTCTGTTGAATTATCAGGGCCTAAAACAGCACCCAGCACACAGTACTGCCCAATACACATTTGTGGAATAAAAGAACATACAGAACACCTCAAAGGAATAATCTAAACCAGACCTGGGGGTCAGGGGGAAGCCTTCTAAAACCACATCACTATGTTCTTGGTAGACATAACATCCTTCCCAGTAGCTAGCATCATATTTAAACCAAAAGGGGTGGCTCTATTAGAGGCTCCTTCTTTATACCAAGGAGACATATGACAGCACTATTTTCTTCAGTAATTGCAGTGGCCATGCAATTACCAATTTTTATATCGCATCT